ATATATATGATAAAAAAACATTCAAATATAATTTCGTATGCATATGGTTTTAAATAATATCGTAGAAACTTTTCTTTTTGGCGTGACAAAAAGAAAAGAAATTCAATTTCAATGTTAACACCAAGTTGTTATATTTAATTATTTATTGTTTCATTCGATATTTTGTACTTATTCAGTAATTTTTTCATCCTAGAATTCAAACTTAAAGCTAATTAAGGTCTAAGGATAAAAGAGATATATTATATTTATCCATAGTAGTGATCGATGGTGACGCTGTTGTATATATGATTTATATATAATATGGTTGTGCCGCGTATATACATATATTAAAATAATCGCTTTATTTGTCATGGATAACCGACCCAGGTGTCACCTGGACACAACATATTCAAACAATATAAATACTCCCATTTTTTCCCCAAATTAAAACTCAAACAATATGAGTGAAGTACCAAAGCAAAGAGCTCCAGGTAAATTATATGAAATTAGCTAACAAAGATTTTTGAAAAAGTATAGTGTAATGTTTGAATTAATGCAACAGGTTTTTACGAGGGACCTCCAGTGATGGCACCCCCTATATATACCTATACTGCTGCTCCCCCTAGAAGACAATCAGGTTTTCTCGAGGCTTGGTAATATTATTATTATTATCTATTACTTCATTCATTTTCGTTTTAATTTATGTGACACGATTTATTTATTACTTACTATCTTCAAAATAGTAAGTACTAGTTTACTATGTTTATATGATTAATGACTTTTGTTTGCAGCTTGGCAACTTTATGTTGTTGTTGCCTTCTAGACTCTTGCTGTTGGGATCCTTTCCTCTGTATTTAGCTATCCTAAGTGATGAATAAAAGAGTACTAGTTATACTTTTGATCTCTTTTTTTTGGTCTTTAAATTGTATTATTCACAAGTTATCACCAGACAAAAAGGATAAAATAATGTTAGTAACGGAGAGATGAAGCATCTCGTGTTTTCGTACCCTTTGAGAAAAGGTTTAGGGTGTGTAATGCAGACAACTTATTGTAATGCGTGTACATTGGTGATTGATTAAACATGTGACCTTGAATGATATATTATGATGAAATATTGATTCTATCTGATGCATACATTATTAGTGATTGATTAAACATGTGACCTTGAATGATATATTATGGTGAAATATTGATTCTATCTGACGCATACATACATTAGTGACTGATTGAACACGTGACCTTGAGCGAGAGATTTTGGTGAAGTAACTTTTTATAAGTAGATTCATTTTTTGCTATACTTTCTTTTAGTTTTCGATGTGTTTTACCATATTAAGCTAATGGAAGAAAGTATGGAAGGTGTTGTTAGACAATTCTGCTATAGCCTATATTAGTTAGTGGTAGTTTGTGTGTGTATGTTGAAGTCTCATCATGACTTACAACCCAAATGGAATTATATTAGACTTGGAGCTTCTTATATCTATGAGAGAAATTTGGATTTTCATTTGAGTTGTTCATGCTTCTATTACTAAGAAAATCTAACACATACATAGGGCGATTGTAGGACTAATTTAATTTGGTATTTATGCCAAAGCATGATTTGGGTTTGGTAAAAGAGATTAATTAATTTTATTCCCAGACGGATCATCCTTCTAGGTTAGCAAACAATCTTTATAATTGGATCAGAGAAAAACAGAGTTTCCAATCAAGAAGTTGGTTGACATTCACTTCCGAATAAATGCTTACACGATTGTGATACTTCTTTTTATTTCACAATGAACTAAAATGTTATCCATACTAGGTCTAGGTGGTCACACAACTTAGTAATAAGCCACAAAATAATAGTATTCGCAGACACGCATTAATTCTACATGAGAGTAAAAATAAACATTATAATAAAAAAAGAGATAAATACGTGTGAAAGGCGTGGGGGCATAATTTCTCCCTATTATATGATGTAATGTAACTTCACTAAAGATTGTGTGACAAGTCGTAGACAGGACTGATTGACCCCCTTTTCTTGTTTTTGTATTTTTTTAATAATAAAAAGAAGAGTTCACTTATAATGAACGAACAAAATGTGACAAAAATCAAAGGAAGAATGCATTTTCTCATACTAGTATTTATTATCACCCCAAAAATAAGCGGAATAGTATGTAGAACCAATGCCATTTCCAGCTAATACTCCCTAATTATATTCTTGATTAATTAAAACAGAACATTGGCAAATTAACATTTTTACTTTTAAGTATCAATCAATTCTTTGTGTTTGAACAATAATCGGGTCATTTGGTAAAGTGAATTTAGAAAAATAAATAATATATATGAACTTAGTTTTTATTACTAATACTAATACTTTATTTCGTATATTTTCTTATACTATTATTCCATATTCAACATTTTTCTCGTACAACCTACCAAGCACACCAAAGTTTTTACTTTTTTTAAAAATAAAAAATCTACTAGGTTTTTGCAAAACCAGTTATTGAACAAATTCCGAAGATTTTTTTTTTTTTTTTTTTGTGTATTTTTGTTTAGGAGGAGAAATTTTCAACAAAAAAACAAACACAACCAATAATATCTTTTTAGAATTAGTCCAAACCGCAATCTAAAATCCAGCACATTCACACATGTTTTGGACCTTACAAACCGGACCAATAATCTCCAGCTGTCAATTGGGCTTCTTGGCCCAAAAACAACTCAAGGCCCAGTTACTATCAAGCCGGCTTACCCTAATTCTCTTTACCAAAACTGGACCCACATACTACGCCGCCTGCAACTCAAAACTAATCTCCCTCGCCGGCGGAAACAAAATCCGGCGAGTCTTTCACGTAAAATTGCTGCCGGACAATCAGATCAACTCAGATCTCATCGGAAAACTACCGGACCACAGATCTAAAAAGCTTTCTGTTGAAAAACCCCCACATCGGAAAAACAAAAAAAAAACTGAGAAGTTTATTTTGGGAATTAGCAATGAAAGAAAGTAAGTGAAGAAGAGAAATTGGATCTGGATTTGTAAATTTGTAATGGTAATAATAGAAGGTTCTAGGAAAGCGAGGAAGACGTGGGGTAGTGGGTGTAGGGGGTGGGGCTGCTTTTTATATTTGTAAAGAATGTGACGCCACCTACACATTAGCTAGTTTTTAGTTGTCTTTACTCTCTTGTAGGACCCAAAAAAGGTGATAAAATATTTATTCTTTTTAAAAAAAATCATTTGCACCCTTCAAGTATTTGGATTCCCACTTTGCTCTCTTCATTGTCTACCACTATATAATTTGGTGCCTACAAATTATTATCATCCTCTTTGTTTATTGTTTGGGATTAGGAAACAAAGTACCAAGACTTTTTTTCCATGCTTCACTATTTATATTAGAGTTAGATTATTTGAATTTATATTATATAAAATTTTATTTAGAGGAAAGTGTTCTTATTGAAGATTTTTCTGAACAAAGTATATGAGCCGCTTGTATGTACAAATAATATAAAATATAATTTCAATTATTTTTAATGAATTAATGATTTATCTGTTAAGAAATTTGAGTAAATTGTATCTTACAATATTAAGCCATTCATTATGAACTTCAATACATTCACTAATGTATAATATGATAGCCCAATATTAACTCATAAAATTTCAAGTATTTTCACTAGAGATTGATGTGTATAATTAAACAAAAATGTGCAGATTTTATTTTTCAATTTTAAATTATAGGTGTGTAATTAAAACGCTTCATAAGTATTGACAAGTTTAAGAGGCTGACTATATATTAAGCCCAAAGAGTAGCTAATTTTGTGTTGCATATGGTATGCGAAACTCTCTATTCTATATTTGTATCTACTTTTCTATTGTACCTTTGCAATTGACCGCGCAACTAAGTTCTACGTAAAGTACAAAATTTACATGTCAAACACGACTATTTATTTCTTGCTAGACTAGACTAAAGGTATATTGTCAGTTTACATTTGAATCTTCATAAAACTATCGTTAATTTATTGAACTAATAAATCTTCATAAATTATAATATTTTTAAAAGTACGTACGTAAATAACATATAGTATTTGTGAAGAAAAAAAAGGAACATTGAAATATACAATTAATAAATGCACCATCTTAAAATATTTCATTACCTTATTTAGAAATTAAATTTTACTTACATAGTATAAGATTATATAAAAGCTTTAATATTCACTTAAAAAATTTAAAATTACAGATATAAACAAAATTCCAGTTTTTTTAAGTGGGAATTATGGATAAAGGAAAGTCGTCATTTTAAACGTTCATGGGCAAAAAATTACATAACATTAAACAAAGCTTCCATTGTTTGACAGTATCTTCCTGACACGTCAACAGTTTCCCTATGCGCGTTTTGCTTCTCTTTCACGACTTCATGCGTATTCCCCTTCCACGTCATCCACCCCCACTCCTCTTAAATTATTTGTGGGTCCCACTCCCTTCAAAAACCCTAAATTCAGGACACATGCGACCCAAATTCACTTCAAACTCAAACTACAACGCCTCTCTTTCTCCTTTTCCTTATCATTCAATTTTTACAAAAAAATTCTATTTAAACCCCTTCACAACTGACCCCAGATCTATTGCCACGTGTATATTACATTAAATCTTAGCCGTTCATGACAGATTGTCTCGGTCAGTTTCTCAGACAGCAAACAAATTTTTATACATCGTTAGATGAACAGACGAGATGTGATCAACGGGTTAGAATCTGCCCGAAGTTCGCACGGGCAGATCTCATCGCCTTTAAGAAGCGATGCCCTCTCCTTCTCATTCCTCGCTCAATCCCTTCAAACCCTTGCCTTCATTTGGGTTCCAACATTTAAAGAGTTCCTTTTTTCTTCCTTGTTTGGTTGATTAAAGCCGGAAATTGGAGGTCGGGTGGAGTTTTGTTGGATTCCGGCGGGCGCGTAGCTATCACGTACCTTTTCAATTTCATGATTTCAACACCATCTGATAACGATAAATTCCACCAGAGAAACGCCGGTATTAAGCCTTGCCGGTATAATTTATGGCATCCGCCGTCTTAGCTAGCCGGAATGAATCTAGCTGGGCTCAGTCTGGTGGTGCCGGTGGTGGATTCATGGGGAAAACCCCTTTTTCTCATACACAACTGAACCCTAATCACAACCCTAACCCTAAGAAGAAGCAGAAGCAATTCCATCACACCTCTAATGGTCGGCATATTGATGAATCGCCGGCCGTGACGCAAACAGCGTCTGATGATGCCTATTCGTTCAATCAACGGCCGATTGAATCAACGACCAACGTTGACGGCCTTAATTTCGGAGGATATTTGACTTTTAACGTCGTCTCTTACAACAAAGGCGAGGTCAATGAGCTACGGAGTCGGCTGTTGGCGGAGGTCGAACAGATCCGAAACCTCAAGGATCGAATCGAATCCGGTCAATTGAGCACCACCAACCCCAGATCACAAGGCAAATCGAAGAAACTATCTGGAAATAAACGGCCTACCCCTTCCGGATCCAGTAAAGATCCGAAAAAGCTCCCAAACGGAGTTGAAAATAGGAATTTTGGTAATCCTGTTGGTGGTGGTGGTGTTAAGGCCATCGGAACGGAAAGTATGATGAAGGAATGTAGGCAGATTTTGGCAAAGCTGATGAAGCATAAAAATGGGTGGATTTTCAATATCCCTGTTGATGCTGAAGCCCTGGGTCTTCATGATTACCACCAAATTATTAAGCGACCCATGGATTTGGGGACGGTTAAATCAAATTTGGCTAAGAATTTTTACCCTTCCCCTTTTGAATTTGCTGCTGATGTAAGGCTTACTTTCAATAATGCCTTGTTGTATAACCCTAAAACAGATCAAGTTAATGGCTTCGCTGAGCAGCTTCTCGGACGATTTGAGGACATGTTTAGACCGCTCCAGGATAAAATGAATAAGCTTGAAGGCGGCAGGAGGGATTATCATCCTGTAGATGAGTTGCAGGGGAGTTCTTGGAATCACATACCTACGCCCGAGAGAGTGAAGAAACCCAAGGCTACTCCAGTCCCTCACATTTCAAAGAGGCAAGAGCGGATGCAAAATCATTCTAGTGCGTCAACACCCTCTTTGCCAGTGCCACCACCCAATCCACCAGCCCGGCAGCAGTCCCCATTGTCAACTCCTTCCCCAGTGAGGGCACCACCCTCGAAGCCTGAATCAGCTGCTAAAGTTCCTGCTATGGGAAAGCAACCTAAACCGAGGGCCAAGGATCCAAATAAAAGAGAGATGAATATGGAGGAGAAGCATAAATTAGGAGTTGGGTTGCAAAGTTTGCCACAAGAGAAGATGCCGCAGTTGGTGCAGATTATAAGGAAGAGGAATGAACATTTAGCCCAAGACGGTGACGAGATTGAGCTCGACATTGAGGCCCTTGACACCGAGACTCTATGGGAGCTTGATCGGTTTGTGACCAATTGGAAGAAGATGGTGAGCAAAACTAAGAGGCAGGCATTGATGATTAACAATTTGGGACCACCATCCGCCAGTGCTGCAGCTTCTGCTGCAACTACATCCGTCGCCGAAGCAGATGGGGTAAATCAATATTTCATTTTATCTTAAAATCTTTTTTATCAATACATTTCGTGCGCCTGTGCTTTTGTCTGATTGGAATGACTAATAAAATGTGTTTCTTTTGCAGCCTACCACTAGTGAGAAAAATGATTCCTTCAAAAAGCCCAAAAAGGGTGATGTTGGAGAAGAGGATGTAGAGATAGAGGATGATGAACCAGCTACCCATTTTCCTCCAGTGGAAATTGAGAAGGATGAAGGTGGTGGGCGGGATCAAGAGAATGGTGGTGGTGGTAGTAGTAGCTCTAGTAGTTCTAGCAGCTCAAGCAGTGGCTCCTCCTCTTCTAGTGGTATATGCTCTACTTCAAATGCGAAAAAATGATATCTTTTGCGACTCAAGTAGCGTAGATTAATTGAACATAATTTCTTGTGCAGATTCTGATTCAGGAAGTTCATCCGGAAGTGACTCTGATGCTGATGATGCACACTCTTGAGATTTGTTGATTCAAGCAGTGCATATGTTGTTGAATTTTCTTTTATCGAGGTATAAAGTTGGGGACTTGAATTCTTTTGTTTTGCACATTCCGGTGAGCTGAGTAATTCGGTTGTTGTAAACACATGGGCAACCTGACAAGCTAGGAAGAAAAATTGGTCTGCTTATATCACTAGGCAAATCAAAAAGCTCAGTTGGAAGGGGAAGGGAACTTGTAGTGTTGATGACAAAAGAAGTTATGGCGTTAGGGATCACAATTTTAGGAATTTTAGAGATGGTCCCTCTGTTAATGAAGAGTGAGATATGTAGATAGATAGTTGAGGAGAAGACACCTTTTGTACAGTTGGTTTACACTAAATATTTGATTTTTCTTGAAAAGAACACATGACACATTCTACTTCTTTGGTTTCGAGCTCTATCCAACTTTCTCAAATTGTTTGTGGTACGTACATCTTTAAAGGATATTTTGAGTGAACGTGTTGGTCGGTGAACAACTTGTGGAGCCACTAATTGAGATAACAACTTGGAGTAAAAAGAAAGATTATCACTGTGGCTAATGTGTTAAAAATTGCTGGCCTGCACTTTGTGTTAGCCATGTCCTAATCGACCCTAAAATGAGCAAAGACTGTTTATTCAGCTTCCTATTAAGCCACGTTGGAATGGTTTAGTTTGGCCTGAGAGCAGAATATGAAGAAACAAAAAAGCATATATGAATTCAACCCTCTTCTTTTGATGGTGAAGATGTGTTTACAGAGAATGGTATGTGAACAATTTAGGTGCAATTATTTTCATATACTAAATTTTTTAGGTACTTGTAAATTATTTATTTAATGGGTGGCCTTGTTCCTTTTGCCTTTTTCATTCATTTATAGGTAGGTAGCTCTCAGCTGTGCAGTAACAGTATAATACTTAAAGAAACTTTCCTTTGTAAAGACGTAAACAATCTCCTTTCACGTGAAGGATCCAAATATGGCGTCTCAACTAAAATCCACCCATGTGATGGTTATATATATTTTTGGGGAAATATACACAGCCACATACATTAAGTTTGCACTAATGTAGTATAAGCCAAAAATTGAATCGACCAGCTAACTATAGTAAAATATATGTCCACACAAAATTGAATAGTTATCCGGATGACAATTAAGGTCACAGAACAAAGCCAGATAAAGATACTGTTTAGAATTGATTCAGATGACGAAAATCTTCAAAAAGTGGTAGTTCTACATGACTTCAATATTTCACAAGTCACCTTGATGTGTTTAAAAAGACTTGCTTTGCTTGAGGTGAACTCCAACTTAAAGTGGTGTGGCAAATAGTGGATGTAATTTTTACGTTGGCCAGACTTTATACGTCACAACTCATAGGAGAGTCAATGAGGTGCCACCACCCAAAACAATATTATTATAAATGTTTGAATGAAAACAAAGTGTTTCGACCAAACAGTAGGAGAATACCATTTATTAATGGGTTAGCCCAACTGTTTGGCCTTTGGTTGAAATCCCAAGTGGCATTTGACAAAGTCCAACACCAACTCAAGTGAGATTGCAAGTAAAGCAATTTATTTGTTCTGTTCGTGATAGCGGATCATCTACTACCAAATCCTGTTAAAACTTGCAAATCTTACTCGTTCAGCTGCCTGCTTGCACAGTAGGGAGTCCATGTTTTCCACAAACATCCTGTCAAAATTGAAGCTGCTGTATGATCATCAATGTTAATGTCGCTCCATTTAAATCTATAAAAGCAATTCTGCACATACAAGAGAAATTGGATTTTTCAAAAGTACTTCTTTAGGACTTCCTTGAATATAACATAAAACCACCTGAAGTGAGATTTTTAGCATCAATTACCTTTCTTGTGCTTGAAAGGTTTGTCTGCCAGCCTAAAGTTCCTTTTCAACAGTGACTTGAGCACTGAGAGCTGGATGGATTCACCTCCAGGATAGTCAAAATTTTGTTCTGTAGAATTCCCCAAATTCGTTGACCAAACTATGCAATGCCTGAGCTAGGTCTGAAAATATTATCAATACCTGTGGCTTTCCTGTAAAATGGAAAATTAACATAAGTATTCCACCCATAATCAATCAATTGATAGAATTAACAAGTGTCGTTGAGATTATTAGCGATAGTAATAATAGACAGATGCACGAACCACAACCTCAGATCATGCTCTGCAACCATAGGATAAAATGAGAGACTATCATGACACGGTGTGTTAGATGCACATGTTGGTAGGAGTGAAATCATGGTGAAAGGTGTTAAAAAGGGACACGATAGATCCAGAATCATATGAAAGAAAGTAGTTCAATCTCGAATCCATACAGACTTGGCCAAAAACAAGTTACAATGAAAGAAAACGTCCATATGAGTAAAGCCAATAATTATTAGTCATGTTGGTAACTCTAATGTTCACTAAAAGCCATTTTGTTTTGTTCAAAATTTGTATGCCAGCAAAAAATGTAGATAACTTATGATGCTTCAAAAAGTTTTGAGACAAGTCTAAATGGAGCAACATAGATAGTGAATATTCATATAACTGACCCCTATTATCTTGAGATTGAGACATAGTTGCTTTAAACTGTGTGCAAACTAAATGAACATACAACTAAAAAAAATAATCCTCCCATCTCCTTTTATTATCTTCTCTTAACAAAATCAGTCAAGTTTTTTCAGGATGGACTTCACATCAAATGCACTAGGTGACACTATATATTACTAGAAATAATAGGTTAGCAATTTCTCAGTCTAGGTAGCTTCATTAAATCACCATATGCACTGATGGATATTATGCTTGAATTCTGTAATTTACCAGCTCAATAGCAGTCTGTGTTAAAGCTTATGACTGTGGTAGCAACGAAAGCATGGTATCCAATAGAACATACATCAGTTCAGATGCACCATCTCCGTCTGCTTCATCTTATCCAGATGAAATTGGAAAATCTGAAGATTGAAGAGCTCTCATGCAGAAAATAACCAATTTGGAGGCGACTTAAGAAAATTCCCCAGGCCGAAGTAGAACTTGAAGCAACAATTGTATCAGAGGGAACCTCATGGAACGACACTTATTTCTGCCAATACTTGGAACCAAGTCCTTTCCTGCCATCATTTGGAGAAAAATAATAAGATAAGAGGGAAAAGGGATTAGCAATCCAAGTTTCTCACAGAAGAAATGGATTAGTTTTTGATTTCCTGAACACAGTGAATTGTTGTTAATCTGACACAGAGAGAAAACAAGTTGCTTATGGTAATATAAGATGATTAATAAGCCAGTATGGTTTTTAAATTAAGACCTTACTCAGACTCCTCACACCAAAGCACGACATGATTATCCAACAGTAAAGAAGAATTGGGAGTTCTAAAGCAAGGAACTTTGGTTAAGCAAAGGCATAAGAAACATTTAACTAGTGTGTAGGTCAGCAACTTATTAGGGTGCTACAAAATGAAGCATCAAAAAATCTCACCTGTCTTGAGAGCTGAAATAAGCTCCAAGATCATTAGCTTTAACACCACTTGACACAACATGAGGTACTTACCCTTTTCGAGAATTTCACGGCAGTATCTTAGCTGCTCAATGCTCATCCTAGAAAGAGCACTTGAAATGGAAGACTTAGGCAACCAAAACTTCTCCTCCAATTCAAAAGATGTCACCTCAGTTCCAAGAGTTAAAGAGAATAAACCTTGTATCCAGAGTTAGATGCTTTAAGCTATTGGAAAGTGACTCTATAACCAGCCTTTAAAAATTTCCGAGGTTCCTACAGCTCCAACAGAATCCTTATCTTCTATGGAACCAATTTCTGAAGTAAGACCTTCATCCAAGGAACATGTGAAGCAAGTTCTTGATTAGAAGCATGCACAAAGACTCAGTTTCAAATTCAGCCATCAACTCTTTTACTTGTTTTTTTCCTGGTGATGTAATCAAATTTCCCTTTGCTATGTTTCTGTAAAGCCACAATAACTTCCACTGTTCTAACATCATCATGCTTGACCCGCTCAGATAATTCTCTCAAAAAGTATTGGCTGGCTTTGAACAGCTGAGTGATTTCTGTGGAAAGTACATCCATTAAGCACAGCACAACTTTGTAAGACAGGACGTTGTAAATGCACGAAGCGGGCCATGAGATGATGAAAGAAGAGATCCTTCAATGATAGCTTTACAGAAGTCTTTAAGAATATTCTCAATATCTTCTACTGCTGAATTACCCTTGCAGCCTCTATTGTGCTTTTTAATGGAATTTAAAGCTGGCGAGGGATCAAAAACTTGTACAAAACTTTCAGGTAAAAGAATACTTAAGGAATATTATACACTATGCTCGTGGCAGGCAGAAAGTGGAATCCTGTGCATCAAAAAAGCCAGCAGATCAAAATATGAACAAACCTTTTCAAGGAAAAAAAAGGGCAGGCTGTGCACTAAGCTCACGCTATGCACGGGGTTCAAGGAAGGGCTGGACCATAAGGGTTTACTATACGCAGTCTTATCCTGGATTTCTACAAGAGACTGATTCCAAAACTCGAACCCATGACCTCCTGGTCACATAACATAACTTTACTAGTTACTCCAAGGCTCCCTTCCAAACCTTTTCAAGAAAGGAAAGTGAACAAGTCTAGTAGCACCTTCAAGCAAATTGGAAAGCAAGGACAGATATTCCACAGTGAAAAGCCTACGAATGCTATAAGGAAAAGGTAGAAGCTTGCCAAACTCTTTATTTTCAACACCAGTTTTTCATTTATAGTAAAGGCAAGGAGCAAAACATGAGAACTTCCAACTTCTGTTGCATCTTCAAATCACTCTTTAAGTTCAGGAGCTTCAAGTATATGATTCAACGAACCTTTAACAGGTAGTTGACAAGACAAAAAATATGGATGGTCAACCGCTAAGCAATTGCATCTTACGGAAAGACCAAGTAGAGGAAAAGCATAAGTTCACTTGTTGCAAACAGCTAAACTGGCAACATGACAGCAGCACATCTTCCTGGGTAAGTGCAATAGCAAGAGGTGATATTTTAGGGCAAGTGTAAAACATTTTCTTGCCCAACAGCAGTAAGATGCTGCAGGAGTAGTAGGAAGAGATGATGTTTAATAGACAAGTGAAAAAGATCCTAGAAGATTCATATAGGAGATGTATAAGCTCATACAAGTTAATAATGGCACAAGAAAAGCTAATTTGTGAATCTATTTTCATCTAATAACTAAAAGTGTACGTGCTAAGCTTATATTTTCAATTCACAGGCTTGTAAAAGTTTAAGTACCTTATCAACCAACTTCAAAATAAGTGAGACAGCAGTCGACTGAACATCTCAGCCATTGTCGGGAATTTCGCCCGCATCCGATCCCCAATTCTTGTTCACCCTGGGTAAATTGTGACCTCGTACGATCGTGTCGGGTGAGCAACAGCCTCTTCGTCACAGTACTTACTTAAGGGATAACAGGTCACACTTTGGCCAAGTATCCTACAAAGAGACTCCCGAGAGTCCTCTTGTAAGTACCGTGTCTTTGTTGCCAAAAAGACGAGAACCAACAAGTTCTTTACTGTAAGGAATGTTCTTATCAGCAATCCACTCCAAAATCAATTTCCCTGATCTTGCAAAATCTCCATAAGCAAACAAGTGTCCCTTTAAGCAATCTCTTATGTACTACAAAACCAATTTAAAGTGTCAAGCCAGACCATAAGAAAAACTACTAAGTTTACGAACAAAGGCAATTTTCCCCACCTAACCCTTCATGGAAGAAGAGATCTCCAACAACTCAACAGTTAACTTCAACAGCACATCCACTTTCATGTACGGAACTGCACAAACCAACACTGCCATGCCTAATGCAAATCCTTGCCTTGCAGAACACACATAAGAAAACAGATAAGACTATCATAAGGGAAAGTTGAGCTCATTGAGACAATCATGGCACATATAAACTATAAGTAGAATAGAATAGACATCTTTTTATTTTTGTAACCTTTTGTGGTTCTAAGGTAAAGACAGGAGAGCATCATAGCCTAAGCATCTTATGGGAGGATACATGTTTCCAGAATGAATTTGCTTTTATCAGATGTGATCAACAAGAACCTAAAAGAAACCCCTATTTAAGTTGTCAAATTTAGTACTAGTAACATACTAACATTATAGTTGGGCACTTATTTTTCAACCCCCAAATTTATTAATTTTATAAATAACAGAACAGTTATGCTACAAAATACCAAACACACCTATCTGGATGAAGAAACCCACCTAACTGCAAATCCCAAAGAGAGGCAAAATTATTCAACCCATCATCCCAACCACTTCCTCGTTGTCCAGAGTATCTTGGGCCTTCTGAACTTAAAGTAATTCCACAATCCTTAGATCCGACCTGCGCCTCAGAGCTCTTTTTTGCTTAGAGGATTGATGGAAATCTTGTAAGAGGTTGATGGGTTCCTCCTTTGTTTCGGCCATGGAAAGTTCAAGTTCTGCATCCTTCGAACAAACTCACTAAGTTGATTTTTTGACGCTCTAACTGCAAGAATAATTATTATCTAAACACAAAATTTCAGTGATAACCATTCAATTTGCTTGTTTTTTTCCCTTCAAATTGGGTTGAAAGAGAGTGGGATTAAAAGAAAAGAGTCGAGATTAAGATTTTAAGTAAAATCTGAGTTCTCTAGCAACATGGAAAAGGACTTACAATGTTGAGACATTGCAAAAATAGCTTGTGTTAAATGATACGTAAAACTTATTTCTGTGAAAAAAAAAGAAGCCAAGACGATAAACTAACCTACACAACACAAATGATTAGAGACAATAGCTAGCTTGCAATGGATTCTTTTCAGAGACAGATCGCAAGTTGGAATGTGTTCAAACTCCGAGCACAATTCTGGACATTCGGATACCACCAATTATTCTGTCTGATGAGCTTCAAACAAGTACAATATTTCATCGAAATTCTTCAAAATCTACCAAGAAGCAATGCAAATAACGATGTTTTATACATCAACCACACGTTCAGCTGATGAATTCGTGTAATGCACCAAGAGGCAACAAAGTGCCAATTTCAATAAATCGAGTTGCTCGCCAAAAATTATACTCACATCTCTAGTGAAAAGAAGTCAACACGCTAGCATTTTTGCTAGTTAGAATATTTGGAAGATGGGTATGGAAAAAATGAAGTTCATTTTCAGGAGAGTAGATCTATAGACGCTCTTCTGTTTTGCCTAGAAAAAATATTATTTCTTCACTTCCTCGTATTCAGCCGCCTCAGGTGGTGATTGATCTCCTCCTTGTGAACCACTGGACGCACCACCAGAACCGCCGCCGGTCATGTGCTCTCCAATCTTGGAAACAGCTTTGTTTGCTGCATCAAGTTTCGACTTGATATCATCAATGTTTTCAGTCCCCATTGCTGCTCTCAAGTCCGAAACAGCTGTCTCAATTTCTGTAACCACCTCTGCGGGGACCTTGTCCCTGTATTCATTCAAGCTCTTTTCAATGCTGTATATGGTAGTATCTGCACTGTTCCTGAGATCAATAAGTGTCTTGCGCTCTTGATCCTTCTGGGCATGCATCTCAGCTTCCCTGACCATCTTGTTTATCTCATCTTCCGACAGACCACCAGATGACCGGATGCTGATCTGCTGCTCTTTGCCAGTAGCCTTATCCTTGGCGGACACAGTGACCATTCCATTTGCATCTATGTCAAACATGACCTCTATCTGAGGCATGCCTCTTGGCGCCGGAGGAAGACCTACAAGTTCGAATTCACCTAAAATCTTATTGTCAGATGCCATTTCACGTTCACCTTGTAATACCTTAATGCCCACTTGAGTTTGGTTGTCAGCAGCAGTAGAAAACACCTGAAATACAAAAGGAAGCAGCATACTATAACCACTACCAAAAAACATACATTACATTGGACATACATGTGTCATCTTTCCCAAGATCCATATTTGACCAGAGACGAAATATAAGGTGTTTATTTGTAAATCATACTAGCGATGACAGAAGAAAATAAAAATAGTACCAAAAGGATTGTTTCACAAAGAAAAACCACATCAAAATTCAATGTTTTGCTTAGTGAATTTGAATCCTTGAAATTTTGTATAAACATAGAATGGTCACATTTCCTAAAATGGAAAAAATTCTATGGATCTTGGATGGAAGGAGTACCACATCAGGCGAGACAAGACAATAAGAAAAATCAAGAGATCACATTATCCAAAAAAACTCACCTGACTCTTCTTTGTGGGAATGGTGGTATTCCTGTTAATTAACCTGGTAAAGATACCTCCCAATGTCTCAATACCGAGAGATAGCGGAGTTACATCCAAAAGAAGCAACTCTTTAACGTTGCCACCGAGAATACCACCTTGAAGCGCCGCTCCCATGGCAACTGCCTCATCTGGATTGACACCTTTGCTTGGGCTTTTACCAAATATCTCAGAAACTATTTCCTGCACCTTAGGAACCCGAGTCATACCTCCAACAAGGAGGACCTCATCCACATCTTTTAAAGATACTCCAGCATCCTTCAAACAATTCTTGCAAGGATTCCTTGTCCTCTCAATTAAGTGGTTCACCAATGTCTCAAATTTTGATCTTGTCAGTGTGATATTAAGATGTTTAGCCCCTGATGCATCAGCTGTGATGAACGGCAAGTTAATATCAGTTTGAGATGTTGATGAAAGCTCTATCTTAGCTTTCTCAGCTGCCTCTCGAAGTCTTTGTAGGGCAAGCTTGTCTTTTGATAGGTCAATTCCCTCAGTCCTCTTGAACTCGCTCACTAAAAACTCTAACAATGCGTTGTCAAAATCCTCTCCTCCTAGAAAGGTGTCACCATTGGTTGCCTTGACCTGGATGGAAGTAAGTAGAGAGAGGCTGTGATAAATGGCAAGTTAATATCAGTTTGAGATGTTGATGAAAGCTCTATCTTAGCTTTCTCAGCTGCCTCTCGAAGTCTTTGTAGGGCAAGCTTGTCTTTTGATAGGTCAATTCCCTCAGTCCTCTTGAACTCGCTCACTAAAAACTCTAACAATGCGTTGTCAAAATCCTCTCCTCCTAGAAAGGTGTCACCATTGGTTGCCTTGACCTGGATGGAAGTAAGTAGAGAGATGAGTTTAGACGGGAAAACACAGGGAGATACACAGCTTTAGAGAGCACCACAAATTTCACTTACTTCAAAAACGCCATTTGATATCTCCAGAATTGAAACATCAAAAGTTCCACCACCTAGATCAAAAACAGCAACAAGACCTTCTTTGTTGTTCATACCATAAGAGAGCGCAGCTGCAGTAGGCTCATTAATAATCCTTTGCACATCAAGACCTGCAATTCGCCCAGCATCCTTTGTTGCCTGCCTCTGAGCATCATTGAAATAAGCTGGAACAGTGACCACAGCTTTACTAATAGATTTCCCTAGGTAGGCTTCTGCAGTTTCCTTCATCTTTGTTAGAACAAATGCTCCAATTTGGCTTGGAGAATATTGTTGTCCATTTGCTTCAAGCCAAGCATCTCCATTTGAGCCTCTCACAATCTTGTAAGGAACCATCTTCATCTCCTTTTGCGTTTGAGTATCGTCAAAGCGTCTACCAATTAGACGCTTGGTCCCGGAAAGTGTGTTTGCAGGATTGGTCACTGCCTGACGCTTGGCTGGAGTACCAACAAGTCGTTCCCCCTTCTGGTTAAACGCAACCACGGAAGGAGTTGTTCTTGCCCCCTCAGCATTCTCAATGACTTTAGGATTCTGCATAAACAAGAGCATCAGGGAATATAGATAATCCACCAAAGCCATCATACAGTATCACAGGAATGATCTCAACAAAAGTTTAGCATTTCAACAAATATAATCCTTACCTTCCCCTCCATCACAGAAACACAAGAGTTGGTCGTACCCAAGTCAATCCCAATAATTTCATTTCCAGCAGGTTTAGAGCTACAATGGAAAACAATCAAGCTTACACAGAAACAGATGCAACAACACCACAAGATAAAAAGGAGAAAACAATGCTACAAGCCGCATACCTGAATGGTCTAGCTAGACCATCCCATTTAGCACCAAAATGTGATGGGCACCATGAAGGCTTGGTGTTGGAAGCAAACTGCACAAGTAAACAAACAGTCATAATGGATAAAGGTTAGATAATTAAAAGCTAGGAAATGAGCAACTACTAGCAAGATTTTTCAAACCAATCAACTATTCATTCCACTCTATTCCAAGCCCATTACATATTGGCAAAAGTAGGTGATGTTCATTGTAGATTTCTTGAAGTTTTATCCTAACATCTAAACTTGAGGTCTTGTCCTAATCTGAGGGGAAGCATTGAAAGCTACAACATATTAGCCAATCTAGCCTTGCGAGTGTATAGTTTTTTCATAAAAGTGGCGTCTTCTTGAGGGTGTATAGTCCCATCTATTATCTGTTCAATGTAATTCACCGGACAAGCTCTACAACCATAATCTTGATCTCCCACAGACAATAACAAGCCAGAAACTCAGAGATAAACGATCAATAACACATATCAACTCTTTCAAGAAATCAAGAAGCGATGTTTAATTTAATCAAGAGTGAATTTTTTAAGTCTTTCATGTCGGAGATAGTAAGATCAAACCATTGACAATAAGATTTAAAGTAGTTGATGTTCATTTCTTTAGTTTCCTCCCCCCCTCTCTTTTTTTTTTTTTTTTTTTTTTTTTTTTTTTTTTTTGGAGAAAAGGTTTCTTAAGTTTTATCATAACATCTAGCTTCAAGGGTCTTTTCCTCATTTGAAGGGAAACACTGGGAGCTACTACAACATATTAGGCAATCTACTCTTTGGAGTTTGTTTTATTTTCCATAACAGTGGCATCTCCTTTGTGGGTGTATAGTCCAATCACAGTTTTCTGTTCAATGTAATTCACCGGACAATCTCTATAACCATAATCTTGATCTCCCACAGAAAATAGAACACATTCTTTACCCATAAACAAGCCATAAACTCAGAGCTAAGCGATCAACAACACAAACCAACTCTTTCAAGAAATCAAGAAGTGATGTTTATTTTAAAATCAAGAATGTGAAATTTTTAATTCGGAAATAGTAAGATCAAACCATTCACAACAAGATTTAAAATCATCATAAAAAAATATTAGTATATGAAAGATCTAAAAGAAGACAAAACAT